TATTTCTACTTGATGTTTGGTGAATTTAGTGATCTAAAAAGGTACAAATCTGGCACTGCCACCAACCTGTTTTCCAGCCAGGATCCTCTAAACTGTGCACACAAACCCTGGAGCTGTCACACACTTCCTCTTATATCTTGGCAGGGAGTCCACATTTAGAAAGCAATGCTGGAGCCAGGAATATAAAACCGAGCAGCAACCAAAGTGGGGTGGCAGGCTGCTGCTGTTGCCCACCATTCATATATGATGTGTCATGTGTGACAGAGCTGAAACAGGAGAGCCTTATGTTCCCAAGCGGATGGTTTTTGCTTGCTCACAGCTTCGTTAACGTACACAGGCTTCAGCTTCGCCAGGTGGCCACATGCGTCTTTCGCGCAGGCTAATGCTCGTTAATGTAGGCAGCAGAAGCGCCTCTCTGCTCCTGACCTGACACAGTACCAGTGACGCAAATAGGAGGGAAATACATATGGTGCGTTCAAAATCGGTAGATCACATCTAACCCACAATGACTCCGGTACTAATCAGGAGTCCGAGTAAAATTGTGCCAACCTGTCTGTGTTAGGACAGACAAAAAAATAGAGAGAGAAAAAAGAAAATCCAAACCCGCTCGACCTCTCTTTGGGTAAATTAGCCTAGAAATACTTGTCGTGGCAAGTGACAGTGAATCCTGTCCTATAAGTACCTACCAGAACTCAAACAATACAGTGCCATAGAACAGCTCAACGTTAACCTCACCATCTCTCAGTCCAGACAGCAGCGGGTGCCCTGCTACCTGAAGGTAAGCTAGCAACCGCTACTCGCTGCTAGCAAGTGCTAGTCAAGTCCCCTGATTTATTTAAAACATTTTCCAAGCGATATATTAAAAAATATTATACACACCAACACATCTATTTAATGAAAGTATTACCACTCGTACAACTTAAAAGCTAATTGCAAACCTACGGCCCAATAAGCTGTGCAACATAAACCTGACAGTGAGCACCGCCCATCTCTGTTATCCATGCCTGGTTTGTGATGGTGTGAAGTCTGCCAACTTTGCGCAATGTTAACAAAATGGATACTGAATAACATGGAGTCTAGCAAACAAAAGAGCATTTACCGCAAAGCTGGAACAATATGCCACTTAGCTTTCTTTCATTTCTGCAGGACAGCGAACTTTATTTGTTTGCAAGGTAGCGTGGCCTATAGTTTTTCAATCACAGTCCACCAAACAACCGTGCTACTGTTGGCTGGCTTATGGAAGTGTGTATATGACTGTGTGTGTGCTGTCGACACACGGGAGGCCTCGGCAGGCCCACTGCTTACAAGCATTTTCCAGCTGCTAAACCTTCATTTCCAGCTGCTAGGAGTTGTGGCAATATATTACCAACTCACTAGCTATCATAAGGTAAAAGTGGCTACGTTAATTAGCTAACTCGGCCTAACGTTAGCCAGGCCTGACTGAGGCTCCTCGCGTTAGTGCTTTGAAAACCATGCCTGGCTTTAGCAACTATCAGCAGCAGGCTAGGTTCAGCTAAACCGTTTCCACTTGCTCAGAAAGCTATGCCTGCAAACCACAATTCATAGGATATTATTCACAACACAATACCTTGCAAACGGCGTTTTCACTCGTTTCTCCCGGTTTGTCAAGACAGTAAAAGGCAATCCAGGTGCTCCTCGGAACAAAAACCGCTTTGTTTTCCTTGCTCGTGTCGCCTCCCCTTGTTTGTACTGTTGTTAATTGTGCAGCCCCTGTTTCCTCCTAGTGCTTTCTCTGAGCCCGACTGGTAATGTTAGCAGAGAGCGGCTGTCACTGCAGTGTCGTCTAGCGCCTCCGGTGGTCGCCTCGTGCAACAACAGTGGGGGTTACACTGCAGGGACATGCGAGATCACCGCATGAGGGCGCGCTTGCTCCATAGACAGATCATGGGACCTATAAGATGAATTAGGTAGAACCCCAAGCGACAATCTGCCTGCAAATAAATGTACGTATGAGGTGTCTTAAAAGCTCAAAAGCACTTCCTTTAGCAACAACAACATTTCACTTGCACTGAACCACATGATCCCACTTCTACAGTTTCCCTGCAACCGTCCAGTGTGCAATATGAATACTAACATCGGTCACAATCTGTACATGCACTAAACTTCAATAGAAATGTGTCTTCTTGCTTATAAATATCTTCATGTCCTCTGATCAGTAATAAAACGTTCAAGATATTTTACTTTATTACAAACTTTAGGATTATTGACTTAAAATCAGGAAATTTGAAATATTTGTCTTCCTTTTATAACTATTTCAGTGTACAGAGAGCATATGTGGAACAAAACCTTAGCACCCCATTTAAGGTTAGAAACCAAGGCATTTTAGGATGCAGTTAGCCTAAATCTGGAGTACACTGTATCAAATGTCACCTGAAGGAAATATTGTACTTACAGGTTATGATTTGAACTCAAAGCATTATTATTTCATCCAGTTTTGACAAATGAAATGATCTACATTAACACATTTGAAATAAGTCTACATTTTGCTTGAAATAAAACTGAACTTTGTTTGAAATGGTTTTTTTTAAGTTGTGTGGTATGCTCTCTCTATTAGCACAAACGCTTCCTTAACTCTAAACAAAGCAAATATTGGATGCATTGCATCCTTCCAAATTTCTAAATTAATTAGTTGTACTTTAAGTTGTTTTCTAAGTGATGATGCATAGTATTGCCAACAGCCAGAGTATTTTAAAGCCTCTTGTATAGGAAAAATGTTTTGTTAATGTACAATACACAAAACCATTAACTCCTTAGATATTAAGTTAAGAATGTGCAGGCAGTGGCTTGGGAAACAGACAGCTGTGATTCACTTTAATAACCAAAGCCTCTGGTGAGAGCTAACAGAAGCAGGAAGAGGCTTTAATTTTATAGCTGTCTGTTTAGCTGCATGAAGTGGAGTTTAGCAGCTGTTAGCTCCAAACTCTGTTTTTCATCTAAAGGTGTAGTAAGGGTTCACCTAGAGCTGAAAGTTACATGTTGGGGGATAAGACAGAAGGAGAAGGCTGGTTTCTAAACAAGAGAAGCCTCAGGTGGAGGATAGTGGTGGGATATGGCTGACTATCAAAAAGTAATTGCAGCAAATATGGCCCCCTCATAAAGCATTATCTGCTTTTGCTGGCAAACTTCTAACGAAAAATGAAACCTTGTTTCATCATTTCATCAAATGTTCATCATAATCATCAGATTTGATCTTAACCCGTAAACAGTTAACTGAGTAAAGTCAATTGCAACGTAAAATTCAAAGCAACTACATCACTCAGATGGTTTGAGATACCCACTCCCCAAAGCAAACACTGATGGGATTGGCAGTCCTGCATGTCAAGCCCTTGCATAGAGGTAACATACCTGGTGTATTTGTGCAGTCTGTTATACTGTAACAATTCAGATCCTCTGTGTTATTGATTCCATTAGAATTCAGAATTCAGTAGTACTGACATTACACTCGCTGACCATGCTGGTGCAGGGTCAGATTTCAGAACTGCTTTAAATCTGCAGAGTTTCCATTCCACCACAACCCAGAGGTGCACTAGTGGATTGAGATCTCAGAGATTCAGAGATTCACTTTCACATAATTTTTTAAACAACTGGTTATTGCAGTTATTGTTGCCTTGGTACTACTCAAAGCTATCTGGCCATTTTCCTCTGACCTCTGGCATCAAAAAATAATTTTCTCAGAGAGAACTGCAACTCACTGAAAGTTTTCTTTTTTCAGAAAACTTTTTTCCCTTTTTCTCTGCAAACTGTAGAGATGGATGTACGAGGAAATCCCAGTAGATCAGCAGTTTCTAAGATACTCTGACTTGTCTCTCTCTGTAGCTCATGAGCTGTTTCGGGGCCTATTTTGCCTTTGTTTTTGCCACTGTCTGCCACTGAACACTGGAAAAAGATGGATCAGTAAAATCAAAACTCTATTACAAACACTTTTGTTATAGTAGTGCGACAACAGCCCCACAGTGGCTTCAAAAACCCACTCCCTTTAAAAATACAGACGCCTACTTAACGCTTCTCTGAGGGATTGATGTATTTGGATTGGTTGCTATGTGTTACACCTGGCCTCGTCACCGGCTATCTACTGGTCACTTGCCAAAGGCCGAGCCTCCTCCTCGTCCTCCTCTGGTCGGGCCCTGTGTGAAGGTTATTACTCACTTCATGCTGATTAAGTTTGGGTGAATAGCGCTCTTTGTCCGACCTCGATTCCCACGACCCGGCATTCGCCTGGCAGTCGCGTGGCTCTGAAACAAGGGCTCCCACTTTAGGGGACCCAAAAGGTAGGAGGACGGGGAGGGAGCGAGAGAGGGTTGAAGGGGGAGGGGGTATCTGGTCAATCTGACATCTGCTCGTAAACAGTTAACAGCAGATGTCTCACATTTTAAAAACACCGAATGTGATCAAAGCAGGCTAAATACACAGCGTGTTTCCCCCCCTCTTCTGCGCTTCCACGAAGGTACAACCTCTCCCAGTGCAACCAGCTTCTGTTAAAGTAATTCAGGGGTTTTAAAGGATATGATTATGAATTATAACAGGTGACAGAAATATATTCTCAGGTGATTTGTCAGCCTTTTTGTGTCGTCCCGTGAGCTCTGAGGAAATAGGTTTGGTCTTTTTTTGCAGGTGTAATGTTGCCCTTGAATAGAATAGACGTGGGGGTCCCGGGAGTAAAGCACGGTAATTGCACACTCTTGTTCATGCCTGGGAGAAGAGGAAACTGCAGTTTTTTGGTGTTGTTGTCGGGTGAAGAGGGGGGAAGGGGGGTGTAGCGCAATGGTTTCAGGCTGGACATCTGTCGCTTGTGAGCTTTTTTTTTTTTTTTTTTCTAGGCCGGGTCTCTCAGTTATTCAATGGAGCCAGTGACCTGTCAGTCTTGACTGATGGGACCCCGTGTGTGGGAAAATCCCGCAGCCAAAGAGTTGGCGCATTCACATGCTAATTGCGCCCTATAAATAAGAGGGTCGCGCCGCGCCGAGGACCCTAGAGACGAACTGAGATTCAGAGGAGAAGGGACAAAAAAGCGCGCACACAAACACACACATATACACATACACACACACCATCACACACCACAGGTTAAAACATGACTGCTTCATCCATGGCGCACAACCTGGGGAAACATCCTAGCGCAAAGGAGGAAAGAAAGGTACTGGACATACTGAAGACGGGTTTCTTTTTGACCAATTTTTTAAATGAATCCAGCATGGTGCCTCTCCATCTTGTTTTTGCTGCTCTTACCTGATTTGGTTACTTTTTTACAGCTCAGAAAGCCGCTCATTGAGAGAAAGCGGCGGGAGAGGATAAACAACTGTTTGGATCAGCTCAAAGAAACCGTGATCGGAGCGTTCAGGCTGGACGTGAGTATTGTCCTCACGTGTCTCCTCTGAGCAAACAGCGAGGGCTCAATAATAACTGAGGTTTCTCTTCTCTCGACAGCAATCCAAACTGGAGAAAGCGGATATTTTGGAGATGACGGTGAAACATCTGCAGAACATCCAGAACAACAAAGTTAACGGTAAGGAGCCGGGCACTTGATTGATTACGATATTACGAGCTTTGTTACTGCTGTTATTCATCGTAATAAAAGAGATTTATATCTCGGTTTTTTTTTTTTAATTTGGTTAGGCGTAATAAACCGATAACGCGTGAGAATGAAAAATCCACTGACCTATTTGGCATTAGGCAGCAGGGGGCAGCATCAGCACATATCATGGCATATGTTGGAGGTCTGACAATGTTTTCACTGGGTGGTGGTTAGAGCAGCGTGGTATGTGGAGCTGCTGGATGGGCGAAAGTGGAAAAATTAGAAAATGATGGCTGTCTGAGGTGCTGAGCCATGGATGGAAATGTCATTGCAGCCAACCGGTTATACTGGTTGTGCTGTTTCCTGTTACCACCAGGGTTCGCTGTGACACATGTATCTTTTTCTCTCTTCATTCAGACCCCACGTTAGGCCTTGAGGCCCAGCAGAGATACAGCACGGGCTACATCCAGTGCATGCACGAGGTTCACAACATGCTCCTGACTTGTGATTGGATGGACAAAACTCTGGGCTCCCGTCTTCTCAACCACCTCCTCAAGTCTCTGCCTAGGTCCACCGATGAGCACCCCCTCACCCTGCCCACACCCAGACTCGATGCTGCTCTTCCAGCCACCCAAGCCGTCCCAGGGTCCCCCCTCAGAGTAGAGCAGTTCCAGAGAGAGGCTGGACCTCAGGAAAGGCCAGCACTCCACAGTTCCCACCTGGGGACACTTGAGATGTGGAGGCCCTGGTGAACTGCTGGATTGATGATCTTGGTTGTCCATTCCGTTAGACCATCCTTTGTTATGTATCTTATAGATATGCTGCTCAGAAGACAAACATGTGGGGCGGTTTTTGTTCCAGTGATTATTATTGTAGGTGTGCTATAATGATTCTATACAGACCTTTTCTCAGTACTTCCCTTCAGAAGTTGACCGCTTGTAGCCTGCATTATAGAAGGCTCTTATTAATCTTTCGTGTATTTATTGTATTAACAGCTTTATTTATTGTTATTATAAGGCATGACTTTGCTTCTTAGACCACCTGCTTGGCCTTTGCATAGATTCCTCCTTTGCTGTACTATTAACCTAAACATTATTAATAATAAAACTTATTTTGCACTCACTCAGATTGTATGATCTTTGCAGGTGCTCTTTTCTGTTGGATCTTGACAGGAGTACTTTAAGGTCTAAGAGGCCTACAAGTGTTTATTGTAATATGATGTTACAGTAGTATGGATTAAGATTTTTAGGGATTATACAGCATTCGACTGTGACAGGTTCCAGCCTTCTTGTGGCCCTGGATGCGATAAACTAGGAAAATGGATTCATGGATGGACTATTGTCATGTAATGGACATGAAACAAGTCAAATAAGTGCTAAACTCAACTGCCTAATGGAAACGTGTCAAAGTCAGAAAGAAAACACTTAAGTACTACATAGACTCATATCCTTATGCTCAGTTGTAGTTTAGCTGATTAAGCAGAACAGAGAAGCAGCTAATATTTGGACTTTTCATAAAGGGGTGAGAACAGATGTCAAAATTTCATTTCCACTGTCCCAGTAAGCTAATATGTCTAACATGAACACCCTGGGACCAACAAATCTACAAACTGGATATCATAAAATCTGGCATGCTGCATAAAATGTAAATAAAAATAGAATGCAGTGATCTGCCCCCTAATCTTATTCACAATAGAGCTTAGAAAATATATCAAATGCTTAAACAGAGAAATTTTATCGACAAATATTAACTTGTTTTGAACTTTATGACAGTCATCTTTAAAAAAAAGGGTAAAGTAAAAAAGAAAAGTAAGTGGCACTAACACCAAAGAGCTGGAAAAACATGTGAAATCATTAGGTTAGCGGGCCAGTAACATGACTGGGTAGAAAAAGAGCATCTTTGAGAGGCAGAGTTTCACCAATCTGTAAAAACTGCCTCTGCATATCGGAGAACATTTTCAGAGTTCTTGAATATAAAATTGCAATCATTTCAAATATGTAATGATCTACATCTACATCATGTCATGAAGAGAATGTGTAGAAATGTGCGCATTAGACAAGGCCCAAAATCAATACTGGATCTTCAGGCCCTCATAAAGCATAGCATTAAATCATGGAAATAAGTGCAAGGGCCTTAGAAAACTTCCAGGAATTACTATCTATGAGTAAAATTCACAGTGCCATCCACAAATTCAGGTTAAAGCTCTATGGTGCAAAAGAGAAGCCATTCCTGATCATGATCAGAAAACTCTGCCATCTTCTCTGAGCCAAGGTTTATCTAAAATCCACCGAGGTAAAGTAGAAAACTGTTCTGTGATCAAACAAATAAAAATCTCAAATTCTTGTGTCATCTGGACTAAAGCGGAGACGGACCATCCAGCTTGTTATCAGTTTTCAGTTCAAAATCTCTGATGGTATGGAAGTGCATTAGGTGGATGACAAACTTGCACATCTCAAGTTATATACAGATTTTAGAGCAACACATGCTCTCATCCAGATACCCTCTTTTTCCTGATAGGCTTTTCATTTTTCAGCAAGAGAACGCTAAACCGCAACTGTACTTATTACAACAGCAAGTCCAGGGGATGAGCAGACATTTGAAGCATGATAAAAGGGAAAAAATGATGACAAATAAGACCCTGGACTGCAGTTAGAATTGGACAAGAATGAGATATTCCTCTCCCAAAAGTCCCACAGCTGCCTTTCTGCAGTTCCCAGATGCTTACAGACTGTTGTTAAAAGCAGAGGGATGCTACACAGTAGTAAACATGATTCCGTCCCAACATTTCGACATAATGTTGTATCAAATTGAAAACAAGCTTTTATTTTTTTCTCTTAAAATTGTACTTTCTCAGTTTAAATATTGGATATGATTTTTAGATTCTTTTGTGAATCAAATGTGAGTTTATGAGATTCGCAAATCATTGCATGCTGTTTTTATTTACATTTTATACAGCATGCCAATAGACAACATGAGCTAACATGAGCTAAAACAACTTTGTGAGTAATATATATTAGAATTGAGGTTCTTTTGCTCAACCCTAATATATATATTTGCACTGACTATAACTACAGTCAGTGCACCCAAATCATAACACAACCGTTTCCTGTCTCACCTCTAATTGTGCAAAGCAGATTCCAGTATGCAACTCAAATTCTGCTGTGGTATCCCCCCCACCCCCTCATATAAGACATTTCTAATAGGTCATGGCAATAAAAGAAGTGTGAAAAGAGAGTCATTTTTAATGTTTCTTTATTAGAACTGCTTCCAATGAAACCTCTTTGCAGAAGGTCTGTGGATTATTCTGAGATGGAGGAAGCTGCTCGACATATTTGTTCCATTTGACTTTATCCAGATACACCTGAACTCTGTATGTTTGTGGAAAACAACTCAGTCATAACGATTGTTTCTTTATGATTTGATGATTTGGGAGGATATGACATATAGATAAGTACCCACCAACACTTATCACTTGTGTGCAGGTTTGCCTGGCTAGCACGATTTGTAATTATAAATGATGCCAGCATTGTATAGTGTGTATGTGAGATGAGAGGATAAGCTTATTTATGCTTCACGCTATGTCGCCAAGCTTGATTAGCTTCGTTCCGAGTTCGTTACATTACAATAAGGGAAGCAGATAAATACAGTGAGGATCTAAACGAGTTGTGTGCGTGTGTGTGTGGGGGGGGGGGATACATAGCCATCTGGAAGCAAAACAAACGTGTCAGAGATGGCTCATACATTCACGTTTTAATAAAGATGCAATTCATTATAAGCTTCTGAGAAGTGCAAACGTGCGAGTGTCCCATTCCCCAGCTATTATAGTCCCTGTGATTGGCCGCCACATGGAGCCAGGCGGCTGGTCTGAAGAGAGAGGGAGAGAGGGAGACAGAAAGGGGGACGCCTGGTCCCTCGGCGGAGCTCGCCAACAAAAGCGAGCCGAGACAGCTGCTCTCTCCACAGTCCACACCATTAAAGCTCTCTGGAACAAGAGATCTGGGGGTGGCGAGGTGCCAAAAAAAAAACCTTCACTTCAAAGGTCTGAAGGGCTTCATTCATTCGGGGCACGGGGCTTCAGTGGCGCGTCTTAGCGGAAATGCTGCTGCGCAATTATGGAAACAGCGCGTAAAACACGAACTTAGCACGCAGCCCTGCATTTACCTGGAAGCTTTCACAGATGCACGCTGACCCAGCCACTCTGCTCTGCTGTGAGGGTGATCTGAATAAAAATGACGTAAACAAAACATGTAATAACCAGGCCAGAGGTTTCTCTCAATGCGCCATATGCACGCTCACCAGCAAAGCGCCCCAACGAATTCCAGGCGAATTAAATCATCAAAATTGGTATTATGAGAACAGCTTTTGACTTATTCACAGTTGTGCAAATGTGTATATTGCAGTGTGTTTGAACACACATAAAAAAGAGAAAAAAAAGTCGTCCACGTTGCACAGCAGCCAATGTGAGAATGCAGTTGCGCACAAATCAGAAGTCACAACAACAACGGGGAGAACAAACGAGGCGCAGGCCAACACCTGTCGCTTTCTTTGGAGAAGGGCCCTTAATTCCCCGAACTGATTTAGTTTTGGCCGAGGGGCCGCCAGCAGCAGCAGCTGCCAACTGAAGGCATCGCGTTACATCCGCCAAACAGACGGGTAAATCTACTGAGGCTCGGACACAAAAGCCAGCAAAGAGGAAAAGAGGTCGGGCAGAAAAGAGACGGGGGCAGGGTTTAAATGCCTCGATGTGGTGTAGGTGCAGCGTCGTGCTGCAATCATTTTGGTTGGGCTGGTTTGAATAAGTAACTGACTGGTTTATATTTGACAGCCTGAAGAATTTCATTTTTGTCTTGAGTTAAACTTATATTTGAGGCTTCTTCTAACATATGAACAGTCAAACAAAAACGAAAATAAAAACAAACAGCACTATTCTAACACTGTACTCTGTGTCTCTGTGCTGATTCGTTTTGTGCAGATGAATTATAAATGCGAGCAGTTCACTGAAACTAACTGAAAGGGGGACAAAAAACGAGCGTTCGTTCCCCTAACCCAAAAAATTGTCTGATTAAAGCCAGTCCAGCTCCTCGGGGCGCAGACCTGGGCTGACCGCAGACAAAGGGGGAGAGCGCTCATTGGCTCCGACCGTGTGCGCTCTGTTGTTCCCCAGCGAGAGCAGCACAGCCCCTATTCACATGTTAATAAGCCCCTATAAATACTAACAACAGCCACTCAGCGCCAGCAGCACGTCTGACTAGGATTACACAATAAACAGAGGGCGCCTCGCCTCGCCTACGAGTTTGTCGATTTTTTTTCTGCCTCTAACCGGTTCCGTTTGCCAGCTGCCCCTCGAGGACCACTCAGGAGGTACGAGCAGCGGTGGGAGAAGCCACAGTAACGGCGATCCAACCAACATGGCCCCCTCGGCTCGGCCAAACGGCCTCGGACTTGATGTGAAAGATGAAGATGAGTCCTACTGCGGGATACAGAAAGCGGATAGAAAGGTGTGGGACCGGTGGAGTCACTGTCCAGAGACACTTGGCAGTGACGCACTTGTCACGCCGCTTTAACGCTGCGTGTGCACAGTTATGAGGCAGGGATGGTTAGTTTGAGAGGAACCCCTCAATGATTCAAAGTTAGTTACATGCTTTAGTGAGAGAAGAATGACGCTGGGTTGCCTTTGCGCACCAACCGCGGACAGGTGGACGCTTATGACTTTGAATGGTGCTTCTTTCCTCATGTCACTGAAGTGTTTTCTTTCTGTGCTCCCGCAGACTAGGAAACCTCTGGTGGAGAAGAAGAGGCGAGCTCGCATCAACGAGAGTTTGCAGGAGCTGCGGACTTTGCTGGCAGACACAGACGTGAGTACGGAGCGCACACAGCTCCTGCACTGGAGTTTCACTTTTGCTCTGCACCAACAATGAAGGCGTAAACTGTGGTCTTGGTGGTGCTCATCTGGTTTCTTTCCTCAGTTTCATTCCAAGATGGAGAACGCAGAGGTGCTGGAGCTGACCGTGAAAAAGGTGGAGGACATACTGAAGAACCGGAAACAAGGTGTGCCCAAATTTATCCAGCCCGTGTAACTGTTTTGTTGAGCGCTCAGAGTGCCAAATAATAAA